TAGTTCATTACTGGGCCGACAAGCAATAGTAGTAGTACTTCTAAAAGACGAACGCTAAAAATTATATGGGTATTATTTAAGCGTATATGAAAGCGGAAATTTTATAAATCGTAGTACTATAATCTCAAGCGAAGCCACTGACACTGATATAGAAAGAGGCTTGTGAATCTGTCGGACCTGCAGACGACAGTGTTTGTAAAATAATAATAATAATAATAATAATAATAATGTCAGTAATAATAATAAATAGAAATAATACAATTTCAAGAGATCTTACAGCGTTTGGAAAGTTGCAGCCCCAAAAAGTAACCTAAGTGACAATGGTCATGATAATAATAACAACAATAATAATAATAACTTGAACTGATCCTGGAGTATGACGTTAAACTGCTTCACAGGCGACGGCGTGGGTTTTCCGGACAAGGAATACGTCCCTACTGGATGATTTGCTGGCCATCACGTCTTCCTGGGGTGCTTCCCGTGGTACGTCGTCTGCCCAACTCACTGGGATAAGAGAAGGAAACTCTGAACATAAATCCCCCCCTGCTGTCTTGTAGGTGTATGCATTTTTAGATAAAGGCTAGGTGTAAGTGTAGCAGGCCAGTTAAGAAAGTAAAGATGAATAAAAATGTTTTAAAAGACTATGTGTCAAAGTCGAATACATAGACGGGTATTGGAACCCGGTTGTTTACTTAACGGCAGCCTAACAACACCAGGCCTTGTTGTGGGGTTCGGAGGGAAATTACATCCTCTTGTACTAGTTTATTCTCCTATTATTATGATTTGATGTTTTATGAGTTTGTTAGCATTCTATGATGTGCTTCAATTGAGGTAATTGTGTGAATTATTACAAATTTAATAGTATATAAGACCACGTGGCCACAGTGGTTACGTTCCACATTGTTTTGATTGGTTTTACGTAAGAGTACGGATATGGAAGATGTAGAAATTGTATTCATCAATTATGGAGAATAAAGGAAGAAGCAACAACAATAGTTTTTCTCCAGAATCCATAGAAGTATTAATTCAGTAAACAAATTCCAACAAAAAGGACGAGGCCGCAGCGACACTAGGAGAGGGCAACTAAATTAAAACTCCCGAGCTCAGCCAGTCCAGCCGTCAGCACCCCGAAAGGACCCTAGCTATTGGGCTAAATAGCCAAAGGCAGTCTTCACCGCCGAAAGCTGTGGTTGGTGTCAGGAAGAGCATCCGTCCGGAAAAAACACACGTCACTTTTTGGCTATCCGCTTGCGCATTAACTATTTGCGCAAGAACACACTCGCGCTTGCGCAATCATCAAGACAAACGTTGGCGCCATTTTTTATGGTTGTGGATCTGGATTTTTGTGTAGAATACTTAACAGTCTTGTAACTACAGTATGCTGATCTGCCATGTTGATATTTATCATTTTTTAAGCACATTCAAACAAGATTGTCCAGCAGAAATAAGACCTGACCTAACATAACCACTTGACCTAACCTAGCCTAACTTAACCACCTAACCTAACCTAGCCTAACTTAACCACCTAACCTAACCACTTGACCTAACCTAGCCTAACTTAACCACCTAACCTAACCACCTAACCTAACCACCTAACCTAACCACTTGACCTAACCTAGCCTAACTTAACCACCTAACCTAACCACCTAACCTAACCACTTGACCTAACCTAGCCTAACTTAACCACCTAACCTAACCACCTAACCTAACCACTTGACCTAACCTAGCCTAACTTAACCACCTAACCTAACCACCTAACCTAACCACCTAACCTAACCACCTAACCTAACCACTTGACCTAACCTAGCCTAACTTAACCACCTAACCTAACCACTTGACCTAACCTAGCCTAACTTAACCACCTAACCTAACCACTTGACCTAACCTAGCCTAACTTAACCACCTAACCTAACCACTTGACCTAACCTAGCCTAACTTAACCACCTAACCTAACCACCTAACCTAACCACTTGACCTAACCTAGCCTAACTTAACCACCTAATTCATCAATTATGGAGAATAAAGGAAGAGCAACAACAATAGTTTTTCTCAGAATCCATAGAAGTATTCATTCAGTAAACAAATTCCAACAAAAAGGACGAGGCCGCAGCGACACTAGGAGAAGGCAACTAAATTAAAACTCCCGAGCTCAGCCAGTCCAGCCGTCAGCACCCCGAAAGGACCCTAGCTATTGGGCTAAATAGCCAAAGGCAGTCTTCACCGCCGAAAGCTGTGGTTGGTGTCAGGAAGAGCATCCGTCCGGAAAAAACACACGTCACTTTTTGGCTATCCGCTTGCGCATTAATAGTTAATGCGCAAGAACACACACTCGCGCTTGCGCAATCATCAAGACAAACGTTGGCGCCATTTTTTATGGTTGTGGATCTGGATTTTTGTGTAGGATACTTAACAGTCTTGTAACTACAGTATGCTGATCTGCCATGTTGATATTTATCATTTTTTAAGCACATTCAAACAAGATTGTCCAGCAGAAATAAGACCTGACCTAACCTAACCACTTGACCTAACCTAGCCTAACTTAACCACCTAACCTAACCACCTAACCTAATAACCCAACCCAACCCTCTGCTATCACCCTCTATCTATCTCTGCTATTTATTTTCCACACGGGGACCTCCGAAAACAAATTTGCCGAATAATGACAAACTGGAGATTTTCAATAAAATAGCAAAGAAAAATTGCATCATGCAATATTGCTGGGAAAATAGTTCTACAGGATAGGTGTCCGACAGAAAATGCCGGAAAAATATTCCAACAGAGACGAGATACAACGAAACTCGCGCAAATAGTTAACGCGCATGCGTGCCGGAAGAATAGCCAAAATATGATAAGATCCGGTGCCGGACGAATATCCACGGCGAATATAAAAAGTAGAGTAAATGCTAAGGTGTACCCCGTAGACGACGCTTTCAGCATCCGCCGGTTGGCATGCGAAAATTGCACGGGGTATCATGGAAATCACGACCATGGTTAAAGAACTTAGTGGATATCAAAGCTGGTAACTGGAATGTAGCATCCATGACTGGAGGAGGAAGAGATTGACTGATTATTTAAAATTATCTGCCGTGTCAGCAGCTAAGGGCATTAGCGGCGAACACCTTGTTAGATTGAAATGTTAAAATATCTAAAGCGTTAAAAACCTAAATGCATTATAAATAATGAATATTGTATTAAAATCAAAACATAAATATTATGCTCTAAATGTATAAAATTATTGCATAAACATTATGCATAATTAAATTTTATTGAAAATATGTCTCCCCAAGGAAATAAGACCTTTTATGTCACAATCCTCCCCGATACATTTTTTTCGGTGTAAATGGGGAAGACAAGTACATATTCTTTGGTCTGAGAATGTTGCACATTTTTACTCTACATGTGCGACCGTTAATAACTCTTGGTACTCCCCACAACGTGCTTCACTTTTAGCCAACATCGGGCCATGAGCCAGTCTTGTGTGCCCGATTCTTAGTCTTGTAAATACAACTACTTGTTGGTTGGGATGGATGCTGGTCGCCCAACTGCCCAGAACTATAGTGAGATTTAAATTCTCCTACCATAGGATCAGCTATCCTCAAGCCCCTGTACAGATTCTGAGAGTTTCATTATGTAGTTGCAGATGAATAAGCCTCACATCCATAGTCAAGTTTACTACGAATAAGCGCTCGGTAAAGCCGCAGAAGCATTGTCTGTACTCCGAGATAGGTGAGAAAGAACTCGCAAAATACTAAGCGCTTTTGTAGCTTTCACCTTTAATTGTTTGATGTGAAGCACCCATGTGAGCCTTGAATCAAAAATTAAACCTAGGTACTTCACCTCTTGGACAAAATGCAGTGGATTTGCCCCTAAATAGAGGGAAGGATGGAACTTTCCTCGTTTGTGGAAATGCATAGCCATGATCTTGCTTGGAGAAAAATTGAACCCACGGTATGTTGCCACTGCACAACCTGATTTATTGCAGTCTGCATGAGTCCTTGCACATCCTATAAGCTTCCTCCTGAGCAGTACAGTGTCATCCACATATAGATTACATGAGACAGCACTTGGAACAACCTTTACGGTGTCATGGCAAACAGGGTCACACTTAAGACACTCCCTTGTGGGACCCCTTCTTGCTGATTTTCCAGGTTAGAGAAACTGTTTGTTACCAGAACTCTAAACTTCCTCTCAGCAAGAAAGTTTTGTACGAAGGTAGGTAATGCTCCTCATATACCAATGTCATACGGCTTCATGGGTATGCCATACTTCCAAGTAGTTTTGTGAGCCTTATCAAAGTCAAAGAGCCTTGAATGACGGCTCCAAAGACCTTACTTTTGGAGGAGTTTCCTCAATAGACCCCTCACTCCCACTCCGTTTCTGTTAGAAGAGCTCACCAGAGGCAGTTTCAGCATTTGAGGACTGAGGTTTAAAGATAGTGGCAGAGTGTGTGGTGTAAAAAGTATTGGAGGACAAGGGATGGTGGGAAAGAGGATGGGCTAGAACCAGGGCAAAGCTCCCTATTACCAATATTTCTTTTTCAAAGTTGTACCTTTTACATTGCTTTGAAGAAGCTTCATGAGCTTTTTTGTTGTGGTAACAGTTGTCATCTCCTTGATGACCTGTTGTACCACACTTTATACACACTCATAGTTGTCCATTTTCCATAAAACGGCAAGAGTTGGCTCTGTGCCCATTACC